ATCGTGAAACTTAGAAGGGAATTTCGGATATTTCCTAGGAAATAATGTGCCTAAACAGGGCACTGGTCATACGATCCTCAGTTGAGGAATGACTCTGGAGGGCTGAAAATACTTACTTTAAATTAGGCACAAGTACTTCTCTGGGCTGCATCTTCAGTAAATTTTGAAGCAGATATCCGTAGAGTAATAATTAGGTTTTGATTTTCTTTCCCACTGGAATCATTGTGTTAATGTGCATCAGTTTTTCTGTAGTCCAGAGCTTTCCTTTTAAAAGGTAGGAAGATTTCCTCATATTAAAATGAAGAGCGTTAATGGGAGAAATCCCATGTTCAGAATCTCTATTTGAGTGGTGAATTCACTGCAGGGTTTGCATCCAGGGCCAGGAGCTCCAAAGCACTTGGAGGGTTTGTAACTGATATTTGGGTCCCTGTTCCTGGGTGTTACAGCTTGGAGAATGAGGTCAGGAGAGCAGAAGATGCTGAAGAGGCCATGTGCTCCCTGTGCCCGTTTCAGAGGTTCCAGTATTTGGCAGTCCTCGTCGTGGTGGATTTTTTGGTTTGTTTGTCACTTTTTTTCTATTTTTCCTGTATATTCTCTAAATATAATTTCCCAGTATTTGGCGTTGTGACAGATAACTCTTGTCCTTTGCTGTGCAGCTCTTAAAGACCCTCGTTCCTTGGTCTCTGCAGGATGCTGATTACCTCCCCCTTGGTCTCCTTTCTGGTGGGCTGGACCAAACCCAGCTCCGTTACTTGGTGGAAGCTCCTGAGCCCCTGCGAGGGTGTCCTGGAAGAGATTTTTGACACAACCATCTGTTCCAGAGAAAAATTAGAACGAACGTGGCGCTGCTTTAAAAAGTAAAGAAATAGAGACACAAATAGCAGGATACAGAAAATTGAAGGTGAAAAATGAAACCGCAAAACTGCCTTCTTGAGCCTAAATGGTGTGTCCTTATTATATCATTTTAAATGATTTGCCGTTTTGTAGAGGGCTTTGTAGAGCTGTGGTAATGTATGTCAGCTGAATAACTGGCTCATGGTTTTGTGCTATCTGCAATAGTTTTCCTGTCAAAAATCGCAGTATGTGCAACTCACTTCAGTTTTATTTTTAAAATAAATATTAGGCATTGTGGAGGTCTAGCTTCAAAAGCCAGGGCTGCAGAAACACTTTGGGTTGAAAAATATGTTTGCTCTTTAACAGTGTCTAGACTTTCATCTGCTTTCCAGTGAAACGTGAAGGAGGGTTAGAGAATTAAGAGTCGCTGATAGTTTTAAAGAAAAATCTCTTTTGCTCACACATGGCTGTGTGCCTTTGCCAAAGCCTTGGACAGTTCTGGAATGCTTTCCAGCATTGAGTTCTTCTGTTTTTTACGTCAAACTTGCTATGAATTAACGTATTATTCTCTCCTCCAGTGCGTGAGATTGCTGCTGCTTTTTCTGGGCTAAATTGGTAGTCCTCAATTAGCAAAGCATTGATAGTCCTTGCTTCTCTTCGGGGGACATCCCCATCTCCACCAGCTCAAGGCAAAACAGTTTGAAGACAAATGGATCTTATTCAAAGGAAGAAGATCCTGGGGTTTGTTCTAAGAAAGTTTAAGCACTTTTTGTTGCCTGGGCTTTGTTTTTCCTTGCAGCAGTCGTGGTAGACGTGCCTGAACCCCACTGGTGCCCTGCAGGTACAGATCTCCGAGGGGTCCGAGCTCCTTCCCTCCGACTCAACCTCCTGCAAGCATCAGCGTGCCAAACTCTCCCATTCAATAATTCATGTGTTTTCAGCAAAAAAAAGAAACAGGAATGTTTTTCTAGCTTTGTTTTGTTCTCAACCAGGCTTTAAAGAAAAACAAAACACCCAAATAATCCCTTGCTGACACCTACCAGGAGCAAGAGCAGTGCAGACCAGAATTTGGCCTTGTGGACTGTTTCAACAACCAGTTTAAGGGCTGTCAGGAGTAGGTAGGACTGGAAACGATGATTGACCGCAAGATTGAGTGTCTGTGCTGGCAAGTTACCTGCTGGAAAGAATCTGTGATCGGCGCAGGTTTTAATTTAAAATTATGGAGATATTTCTTAAATATATGCATAATTCATGATTAATATGTGAATTATTTTTCTGGTACAGTGACAGGCTCAGAAGGCTGTAGCTGAAGGAATTAGTCATAAATGTTTAGCTCGTGGAGACTGAGGGATGCAGCGGGAGAGAATGTTTAATGACTTCAACTCAGAATCCATGTGAAAACCAAATAAAATAGAAGTGTTAGCAAAGCAGCAGAACAGCTAATTCTGAAGGTGGGAGCCAGCCTCAGTGCTGCTGTGCTCAAGTTCCCACGTGCCATTAGTCAAAGCGAACAGAGGTAGGTGAAATGTTTCCTGTATTGATTTAATGTTGCCGAGACGGATTTTTTACCATTACGGCCCTGGGTAAAAACCTGCCCTGCATCTGCAAGATGTTGTTATCCCGATGGAGGAATCCATCCGAGGGTGTTAGAGAGCTTGGTGCTCCGATGGGATGAAGAGCATCAACTGCTGCAAGGAGAGCTCGAATTAAAGCAGGTAGAAAGAGAGGGTCCAGGAGAGCGTGCCTAGAAAAGCGCTTTTTGATGCATCTTTGGGACTTCCTTCAGTTTTACCAGTCCTGGCTTGGCCCCAGACTAGTCGTGGCTCTCCCCGAGTCACTTAGGCTAATAGACAGGTGAGCAGGCCAAGCTTTAAAAGAAAGCATAATTCATTCCCTTAATAGCGAAGATGCTCTTTGGAGGCTGAGATTCATTTTTGCCATTACAGTCCTAATACCAACGCTAATTTAATTTTGGAATATCATAGCCTAATTTTTCTGTTGCTATAATTACATGTTCAGTTTTAACTACTGATGGGAGTGGGCGAAAAAGGAATATTGAGAAAACCATTAGATTTTAGAAAATATACTTTTATTTCTACAATAGTGTATACAATTTTGCAAAATTCACTTCGTGTAGAAAGCGTTTTGCTAAAGGACTGAGTTTGTTTGAACAACTGCTTGTTTTGAGCAGGAAAATGAGTTTTGAAGTCTGTCTGTCTTAGGTCTTACTAGCAAAACAATTTTTCACCTGAGGTTAATTTAGTTCAAAGCAGATGTTTTGGTGACACTTGTAACTTTGGCAGCCAATAATTTGCAATGTTTTAGTAGCCAAATAACCTACAGTTTACAGTTTTTAAAACTGAAACTGAGGAGCAAACGTTCTACCAAATGAAATTTAACTCTATACTACCCATATATCAAACTGCTGCTTTGATGTAGCATCATCCATGGAAGAAAATATTACTGCTCTTGCAGTTGCAAAACACAAGCTGGAAACAACCTTTCAGACCACTTCAAACTTGGGCCCTAAATAGTTGGTGGTTTGGAAAAAGAATATTTTCATTTGCAAATTTAAAGCAAAATTTTAGTTCTCCAAACATATTGTAGAAATATTTGAAAACTTTCTGGTGAGACTTTTTTTTTAATTTTATTTTTTGATCTTGAGCATTCGAGTAGGATAAGTAAATGGTCCAGTGGCTGTTTCCCAGTTCATCTGCAGCTGCAAAATTATTTTCTGTGCACATAGTGTAAAACTCCTTCCTAAATATGAGGTTTAGAGACCCTTTGGGAGTAATTAACTATAATGTAGAAGCAAATCTGGGTTCATTGTACACAGTGCTTATTTAAGAAATGTTTTTCTGCACAAAACCCATTAGCAAGTTTCCAAAACCTCCATGAATGTTAAACATTTTATAATAGGACTTATTTTACATAAAATTGAATGTAATTCCATAAATTACATTTAACTTTTGATCCCTGGATAGCGAATTGCTGAGTCACATGTCTGCTTAAAAATGTATCCCAGTGCTAAAATCTTGCTTTAAATATACATACATATACTTATATATGTGTGTGTGTATAGCAATGATATAACGACTTTATTTCTATCCAGAAACTTGAGGGGGATATGCTCAAAAGAAATTGCCTACTATTTTGTTCCATTTATTGGTCTTGTTCCATAGACCATGTATTTTCTTGTGATTCTTGCGATTATCCTAAGTGCTTTCTTTTTTGAACTTTTATTTCTGCAGAGTTTTCCCTTTTCCTATCCGATCTGGTGGAAAGGGCTAGCAAAACTTCTGTTTTTATCTCCATACAGCAGTGCCAATCAAAAATACCCCTGAAGGAGCAGAGATCCTGCAAGCTGCTTGGAGGAAACGTGGGCTGCAGCCCACGCGTGGGACCTGGCAGCTGCTCCTGGACGTGGTGGGATGGGGAAGACTGGAGAAGGGCAGAAACTCAGCTCCTTGAATGCTCCTCTTTTCTCTTCCACATATTCCCATTGCATTTCTGTTGAGGCTGACAGCAGCACATCATATCATGCACCTGGCACATACTGGGCTTTATATCCCAGGCGTTTCTCCCTGTAAAACCCAACTAGGGTCTCTTAAGGGAAGGAGCTAAACGTTAATATCAGAGAGTCTTCTCGGGCTTCATCTCAGAACGTGCAAGATTGAGCCCAGCCCTTCCATTTAGGGGGATGGTTTCTGCTAGCTGCATTGACTGGAGTTTCGTGCAGTTACTATTTTACACAGAGCCAGAGTATCTGTGAAGTGGCTATCAATTGAGACATATTTAGCTCTTCAGACTTGCTTTTGCAGGTTGCACAAAACATTTAATTAGGGATAATCAGCTTTTAGCCAGCCGGAGCACACTGATGTGATTCTCTTCTTCTCCCTCCCCGTTGTAGACATCGTCTGTGTCCATAAGATAAATCCCTCGCAGTCGGGAGAAAGTCCTAAGCAGCAGGAAGAGGGAGACTACTGAGGCTGCTTGAAGGGGATGAAGAGCATTTGGGGTGTGCTGGGATTGCAGTGAAAAATACACTTTTCCTTTTCTTTTCAGGATGTTGGAGCTGGAAACCTGCCGGCGGTTGCAGCGTGTCCTTCTCAACGTTGCTGCTCAGCGCTCACCTTCCACGGCCCGAGCGGGAACTAGGCGAGCTCTGCGCTAACCTTGGGACGGTTTGGTCCACGATGGGAGGCCCAAAGATTTTCTGGCTCTGGTTTTGTGAAATTGGGCATCTGCCTTGGACCTGCCCTTTGAAAAAGGGGTCATCGCTGAGGCGCAGTTAAGAGACGGGAGACGTGGTCCCGGACCATGAGCGCTCTAAGCAGCACTGGAATATTGGTCAGCCTAACGACGGTGTCCGTTACGCTGGATTTTGGCTTGCATGGTGGTCTCATGGCTTGGTCCTTAAGCAGCAACTTGACTCTGAATCAGAGTTTGCCGACGTCTGATCCTCTTAACACCTCTGACAAGGGGGACGTCTCTCGCATGTCGGTGAGGGAGAAGAACTGGCCAGCCCTCCTGATCCTGGTTATCATCCTGCTCACCATCGGGGGCAACATACTGGTAATTATGGCCGTGTCCTTGGAGAAGAAGTTGCAGAACGCCACAAACTTCTTCCTGATGTCTTTGGCGGTGGCAGACATGCTGGTGGGTATCCTGGTCATGCCCGTGTCCCTCATTGCAGTCCTGTACGGTAAGTGGCTTCTCTCCTTATCGTGCTGTGCACCCCGGGAGCTCCTCTCCATGCCGTGAATAACCTGCAGACAGGTCTGGTGATGGGCTTAGTACTGAGACCACCCTGAGAACCCGCAGTGGGGAGTTAGCTTGGTTGAACGGCCCCCAAATGAGCTGGGTTGGAGGAGCTGAGGGAGAAGTTGAGCAGTATGGTTGCAAGTGGCCCCCTTTCCGAGGCTGGATCAGCCCTTAAACTCCCATTGGTATTAGCTTAGTCAAGAAAGGAGGTTGTGCTGGTAGGCTGCACGCTCAATCTTGGTGGTTCTTATTGCCTGAACTCACCTCATGCCTTTAGGTCATGTCACTTTTCCGTGCCTCAGTTTCCCTATCTCAAAACCAAGAGGGATGCGCCCATTTCCCAGCCCTTGGGGCTTCACGTGTTCGGGGTGAGTGTCCCTCACCGCGGCCCTGTCCCGCTGGCTGTCACCCATCCGTGTGGGATGTGCAGGATGTGTCACTCGCGGTGACGAGTTCCTGCAGCCCCTGGTGAGGACCCATCACACACATCCCTCCTCCTTGTCTCTGGTTTCTCAGCTTGGTGCTTGGACCCAGCATCTTTGGTCTGGCATCTGTGTCCCCTCCACCAGGTCTCTGCATGTGACACTGTGGACACAAGTCCTATCAGGCCCGTTTTCCAGCTCCTCTTTGAAAAGCATTTTCATATCGGTAATTCTTGGGGGGCAAACAATGCTGTTTACCTACAGATTGGGTTAGGAATCGGTTTTCTGTCTTAGAAGGTAAAAAGTAGGGGTGTTTATGTGACTTCTTCACTTGCCTAAAAGATTAACTCAGACAGAGATTCATTTCTTAAATTCACTGATGAAGCGTGCATAATTCCAGAGCTTATATAAGCTGCCTACAGTGAGCTAAATCAATATGTGATTTAGATAAACGAGTAGCTGTCGAGATCCTATGCATAAAGTGTTTTATTTCGAGTTGTCAGTATAGTTTCATCTCTAAATATTCTGCATATTACAACACGTGTATTTTATTTTTAGCATTTCACTCTGTTTCTCGGGAGCTCGGAAGGGAGCGTATAAATCCTGAATGATTTGATTGACCTGCGCTTGCATAAATTCTGGGTTAAAAAGGTGAATTTATGGAAGTGATGTTCCTTCATACATCTTTTCTGAATCTTTTGAAACTAATGGAAATGGATTTTCTCTTGTGCCTACAAAATGATCACTTAAGGTCATGTAAAGGTGTAAAGCGTGCTGCATATTTAAGAGGCAAGTAAATATCATTGATCTGAAGAGGAATTGCAATTATTTCTTCCTCTGCTGCAGCCCCAATGTTAGCGACCCAAACGCTCCTCTGCAGGCAGACTGCTTTTAAATAGATCTTTGGCAAAAGTTTTTATTTGGGAATACGTGTGGAAAAATGATGGGAATAGCTGGGGAGCCGTTTCCTCCACGTGTGGAAAAATGATGGAAAGACTGGGAGGAATGGGAATAGCTGGGGAGCCGTTTCCTCAGTGCGATGCTGGTCCCTGTGGTGCTGGGGAGGGAAATGCGGGCTGAATATTGACCCTTCTGCCAAATGCCACCACAGGCAAATAGGGATCCCGGCTGTGACGGGGAGGGAGTTGGTGCTTGGAGACGTGACTATGAAATTTCAGTCATTTCTTTCTATTCTCTATAGTTTAACCTGGGAATTATGGTCATCCTATATAACGACAACCGGCATGTGCTGCGTGTGCCACAGAGCATTCCTCATGCAGGCAATCAGAAGGAACCTAAAAAATACTTATATAAAATAGTAAATATGCGTGTGATTAAGTTACTTCTCAGTTTCCACATCAAAGCTTTCTGGTCCAATGATAAATTCCAGCTTGCAGAGAAGATTCATTTCCTTAATTTTCGTCTAATGATGTAGATGAAGAACATTTCACTTCAAGCATAACCAGCAAATTGAATAGACATCCTCCACAAAGACAACTTTTTTTTTCCCTTTTAAATTAAAAGAAGGAAAAATCAAGTTGTCAGTTAGTACCAGAACCCTGTTACAAAGGAAGTGATGGCAGGATGCATCATGCTGGATTTTTCACCAATTAGTCAGTGCTCTGACATATTTATAAATGAGTCTTTCTTAAATGACTTGGACTAATAGATGAGTTGCATTTGACAGCTGAGAATGTTTTCCGTGGCATGTAACATCTAAAAAAAATTAAACAAATGACTTTGCTAATTAATAAACACGTATGAGGGAGAGTAAGTGAGAAATGAACACTGGTTTTAATCCCAAAGAAAAAATACTGGTGTGAGCTGAGAGGGCAGCAGCTGCTTTGCCTGCACTGGAGCTTTGAACGGGGTTACAGGCACTTTATATATATATATATATGTGTGTATATACGTATATATATATAGATAGGGGGAGCATATAGAGACAACTTTGCACTTGCTTGTTCTGTACCTGTGTCGGCCAGAGAGACGGATTAATTTATAAGTAAAGGAATATTTCTTATAGCAGCCTTTCCTTTAGCACCTTGCTCAGTGCAATTAGGTGTAGGTACATTAATTGTGCTAATCCACTCGGGTTAATTAACGTCCTCCTACTTCTTGCAAACCACTGGGGCTTTCTTTTTAGCTGGGTCTTACTTGGCTGGTGCAATGTAACCAACTGTCGATAGCCCTTTATTTTATGGGCACAACTTGTGCTTAAAGCCTGTCCCTGGCCCCACATCCATGCAGATATACATGTCTATATGTCTTGGATGTGTAAGACTCTCATTTATGTGCCTCAGGGCACATAAATATTTTAAGTATAAATAGATATTTATATATTTATTATATATTAAAAATATAATATGCATCCCTGCTTTGGGAAAACTGCATTTCCGAAGCAGTTAAGGTGCACGTGAAAGGAGCTGATTTTTCAGAGCTCCTGCTGGGTCTCACTTCCCCGGGGACCGCAGAACTGCCCGGGTCTCCGAGCAGCCGCCGGCACCCCGAGCCGGGAGCGGCTCCGAAGGGAGCGCCGGGAGCTGCTGGGATGCGCTGCTGCCTTGGGAAGTGGCACCGAGAAGATTAATAAAGGGAGCATGGGAAGTATTTAAAACCACGGAATGGAACAAGCCTTGCAGTTGCAGAGAGCTGAAGCCTTCGAGGAACTGCAATAAAGAGCTAAAAATGGGGAATGGAAGTAGTGTGAATATGATAAACTATGGACTTACATGGGAGACCCTGGAGAACGAGGCTGGATCGTGGGAAGTGCCAGAGCAAAGATCCTTGTGTCTAATGTCCTGTCTCTGACCGTGGCCAGAGCAGCGCGATGGGTTTCCCCGTGTCAGGGTCCCCAGGCTATGGAGAGGCTTTTTCAAGGGGGACTTTTCCGTTCCACGTGATATTTCCCAGGGTTTGGCTCGTGCCCTTGTGCATCACACACGTTACGGCCCTTGCTGTCCACCTGCCTCAAGGTTTTGCCTCACTCTTCTGCATGGGATATCCGGGATTGGACCTGGATGTGACATCCAGGCACGAGGAGTGGATGATCGCTTTGAAATTCCTCCTTACTGTGGCCTTAGCTACATCTTAGCTGCACCAGGCTCCACGTGGCAGTTGCATTATTTTTAAAAGCTATTTTTCATTTCTGTCAGTTTTAAATATTGAACCTGTTTCCACGGAGGGGCCATTTATTCCTGACCTAAAGAGAGGGCGAATGGAAACGCCAGGTCTCCTTGTGCTACCTCCTATGTTACAAGTTAAAAATGATTCCCTCGTCCTCATCTCCAACAGACTCATCATATTTTTTTTTTTCAGTGTATTTTGTACAGCTGAACGTTACAGGGAGGTTTGTGCCCTTTTGCTGAGATGAGCTGAGCAGAACAGAATCAGGCCATGGGGTCACTGCAGTTTTTGCAAGGTTTTCATTGCAGGAGTATCTCCCTGCGAGGGTTTTGGGCTGGAGGGGTGAGAGAACCCGTGCCTTGTAAAGCTGTTGAACAGAAAATTCCAAATTAATTAAATTAATTAAGTCTGTGAAATCTGAAAATGTGCTACCTGATTGTTCTATCGTTTTTCCGGATAATTAAAATACATATTAAACTGTTTTTGGGCATTTTAGTATCCTATTAAAAAATGCCTCTTTAGCTAATGTGACCGACAGGATGAAGCTACCGCATCCCCGTGGCTGTTGGGAAGGAAACTGAGCACAGGGCGCCCTGCGCTGCTGTCAGCTTCTGTTTTGCTGCCCAAAATTTAATTATGATTAAAGTTAAAATAAAAAAGATCTATCTAGCCTCCTGGGTACTCACTGTATCCTGCTCTGGACCTCGATTGCAAAATATTTTGAGGCAGCCAAATATTCCTTTGCTGGATTTTCCACTTTCCATTTGCTATCCTGAAAGCTGCTCCATCTGCGTCAGTTTTTTTCTTTATTTCTGATCTCATCTGAGATTGTTTATACCATTTTTTCCCCTTTTTATGTTTTTTTATTAATATTTTTGGTTATATTTCTAATATGAGATTTAGCACGACAAAGGCTAGAATCGTGGTTATTGCAGCAAGTGTTGTCATTTGGGTAGTGAAAAGCACTTTGAAATAAGACCATAGTGCTTGACGGTACTTCATGTTCATCTTCCTGCTGCTTTCATTAATGCAGAATTGTTTTTATAAATTGTCACAGGGATTTAACTTATTCTCATCTTTTGTTATTCTTTCTTATTATTTTGACATGTCTTTTATTGATGTCTTGTCTGAAAATCTCCTCAAAGTTTTTCTGCATTCCTTTGTTATGAGAGATGAGAAATCAAATGTGATATTTGCCGACTGGCTCCAGTACAGGCTGTATCCATTCGATTGGACATTTTTTAATCTAAATTTTTTTTCTGACTTTCCACTCGGTCATCTAAGAAGCAACCCCATCCTCAGGACATTCTCATCAAGGACTCTAGGGCAGTACTCCCCAGGGGCATAAATACTGTGTATAACATTTCCACGGATGCTTTCTTCTTTCTGTCTG